GCGCCCCCCAGCAGCCAGGCCGCGCGCGGACCCCGCATCCCGCCGCCGACCGCACACGCACAGTTGCCGCCCGGAGGACCCGAGGACGCCGCTGCTTGTGCCGGGAAACCTAGGGGGATACGGAGGCCACGCCCCGGCCACGCCCCCGCAGCCGCGCTCCTGCTGGGCCACGCCTCCGGCCACCTGGCGGTCCCTGTCCACCCCCGCCCAACCACGCGGCCCGGCGCGCTCACCTAGGCCTCCGCGCTGCGCGCTCACCTGGAGCCCGAAGCTCGGGGTGGAGCGGCCAGCAGTGGCGGCGCCGGAATGCGAACAATAGGAAGCCTGGCCGCGCCTTCTCCCGGCCCGCAGTGTCCAGAGCCACCTTTAACCGTTTCCCCTACAGGGCTGTCTGCCTCCCCTGCTCTCGAAGTCTTCAGCCTCTGGGCATGCTGGCGCTGGCCTGTAATCTCAGCTGTGTGGAGGCTGAAGCAGGAGGGTCGCCCAGTTGAGCCCAGTCTTCCAGATTTAGCGAGGCCGTTTCAAAAAGAAAGGAAGGGGATGCTGAGGATGTAGTTTGGTGCAAAGGTTCTGGGTTTGATCCCCAGTATCGAAAATTTAAAAATAAAGTAAATAATAACCTCAATCCAATCTCAAACTCTTTTCCAGAAGGGAAAAGAGTCTTTTCACGGGGGTAGCGTGGGCCCGGGAGCGAGTTTCTGGTCTGTAGGAGTCAGGCGGCAGCCCTGGATACGAGGGCCCCTGCTCTGCCCCCAGCTCGGGGTGGGCTGAGCCCTGACTGCGTGATCGTCCCTGGAACACCAAGCTTCCCGCGAGCCAGTTGGGGCCGACAGTTACTCATATTTGCACGACCCAAACCAAAGACCGCGGTCCCTAGGCTTGTGGGCGCTTCTGAGGGAGCTGAGACGAGGGTGGTCACTACTGCGCCCCCCTGTGGGCTGAGCTAACGTGGACACGGGTAATCCAAGAAGGGAACCGGGAGCAGATGTGGGGTGCATGATCTCAGCACTGCGGCATCTTGAGCTTGGTCCCAGCCTGGGCCTCTTGGAGACCCAGCAAGATCCTGGCTCCAAATACAAATTTTTAAAAAGGCGGCGAGTGCAGTTCAGTGCTAAGGCCCCGAGTTCAAGCTCAATGGCAAACAAACAAAAAAATCACACTAGCAAGTGGTCACAGTCATATCTCCTATGAAAGTTTTCCCCAAGGTAGCGAACAGATGGTTCATATGTTCCCTCCCCTACCCTGCAAGAGGGCTCACAAAGCAAGGGAAACAAATGGCTCAGATGTCACAAGAAGGGAATTCTTGCTTTCAGGATAACACAAAGGGACAGGGTGTTCTGTTGGTTGTTGGTTTTTGTTTTGTTTTGCTTTGTTTGAGACAGGACCTCAATATGTAGTTCACGCTGTCCTTGAACTCACTATGTAGCCCAGGCTGGTCTCAAAATTGAGGCAATCCTCCTGCATCAGCCTCCCAAGTGCTGGGGTTACAGGTGTGTGCTACCACACCTGGCAGCAGTTTTTTTAAAATTCCAGCACACACAAAAGGGGCCAGACCGTGCAGCACAGACATTTTCTTCAGTGAGACACCTCAGGTGCCTCTCAGGGCTGTGGCCCAAGGGAGTTCTCTCGGGAATGAAATCATGTGACCTGTGACAGATTCACACCTGTGTGACCTTGGATAAATTATTAGCCTCCTCCTCTAGGAAGATGGGGTTACTATGTTGTGTAGTTTAAAGGGATCTCAAGACAAAAGAGAGACTGTGATGTAAGTAGAAGCTCAAAACTCTTTCTTGTTTCCTTTCTCAGAGCAGTCTTTATAACACCCCGCCTGCAGCCCAGCGCCCGGACACAGTTCCCAGGGCTCCACATCTCAGTCTGTGCCATATTTTCCACCCACAGGAAGTTGGTTTCTGCAGAAGCAGTGCAGGGGTTTACCTTATCGTAAACAGGGGACAGTTTTTCCAAAGGTCCCTGCCCTGGAGAGGTGACTTCTACACTGTCCTTTCCACCGCTTGGCCTGCTTCCTCATCCATGAGGATCACTGTTGCATCTGCATCTGGGGTAATGTAGCCCTTTCTCCTTTCTCGCAGGGTGCGTGTGAGGGCTAAAGGCCTGTCAACTGTCCTGAGCGGGGTTCCCTTATGTCAGGCTCTCAGAGTGCCACCCTCGGAGGAAAAAGCGTCCTCTTAGCAGGGCACAAAGCATGGGGCTCCAGCTGCTTCCAACTTAAATGTCACTGATACCAAAGAGAAACCTCTGCATCATCAAAATTTCTTTTCTTTTTTTTTTTTGTGTGTGTGTGTGTCTTTTTTGAGACAGGGTCTTGCTATGCAGTTCAGGCTGGCCTGGAGCTCACTTTGTAGCCCAGGTTGGTCTCAAACTCACAATGATCCTCCCGCCTCAGCCTCCCAAGTGCTGGGATTACAGGTGGTGCCACCATGCCTTGCATGCATCATCAAAATTTCCAAAAAATTTTAACTCAGCAAACAAGGCTGAGTTAAAAGTCTCAAGAGGGGCTGGGGATTTAGCACAGTGGCAAAGCGCCTTCCTGGCAAGCGCAAGGTCGTGAGTTTGATTCCTGGTACAAACAAACAAAGTCTCAAGAATTGAGGACGCTCAGCAAAGTCCGTTTGCAGACATTTCTAGGGTGCACGGTGCCTGCCATGTAGGTGGTGGAGACTCATCTGTCCTGAGGGGTGGGAGTGTCCTGTGAGCTGCGGCTGGGACTGCAGGCAGCTCCAGATCCAGGTTTGGGAGCCTGGATACCCACAGTTCCCTACTTCCTTCAACTGGAAGAAAGCATTTAGACACCAAGAGAAAACTTATTTTACTTTGTTTGAATGGGACCTCACTATAGTAAGTCCAGGCCAGCCTTGAATTCACTTTGTAGCACATGCTGGCCTCAAACTGAGGATCTTCCTGCCTCAGCCTCCAGAATGAGGGAATATAGGTAGTAGGCACCACACTTGGTGAAAACACATTTAATTCAGATTGATTCTGCACTCATTTATCAAGCATGTTTCACTCTTCTTGGAGATACAAAATCCCTGATATCTTGGGTCCAGATCAATAATGGAGAAAAGCTACGTGCATTCATTCACTAATGCGCTGAGCACAAAAATCATGATGGGTCCTTCCAGTGCCTCAGATCAAAGACTGTGCCATCACCCCTGATTTGTTTATGTTCCTTTTCTGATTCACTGGCAATTCTACTTTTTGCCTATATTGTTCCAACAGCCAGGACTTGGTTTCCCCTTTCCCCCCTGTGTTGGTTACTTTTCTTTTCTTGCTGAGACAAAATACCTGATGTCCAGAATTAAGGAAGGAAAGGTTTATTTAGCTCACAGTTTGTGGAGGTTTCAGTCCATACTCGGCTGGCTCCAAGGCAGGTGACACATGGCAGAGCGCAACAGCTCATGGCGGGCAGAAGACAGCAAAAGCTGCAACAGCAAAAGGCGGGGTGAGGGGTGAACAAGCCTCTTTCCCTCCCTTATATTGTAAGCAGACTACCCCCACCCGAGGGGCGTGTAGCATTCACAGAATCTCCCTGCCCTCCTCTTGCACAGGCTCAGGATGAATACAAAGTAAGGACCCTGGCTCCCTGCTGAGTCACATAGTTAACCTTGTAAACTTCTCAAATTGACACAATGAACAACATTCTAGAGCCCTAAGGGCACATCCCAGGATGCAGAACTACTAAGTCACTTAGTTAGGCTTCTAGACTCCTTAAGTTGACACAGTGTATCAACCATAACAACCCATAACCCTAGGCACCCACCAGCCATCTCACACAGGGCACTAAAGCTCGCTTCCTTCTTGAACAACCAAAGAGCTCCCTGCTTCGCTCAGTCCTCTCAGGTCTCAGGTTCTTTTGCAATCTCTACCCTCACCTAGAACAGTCGCCCCAAAACTCCTCTCAACTCCTCTGGCCAAGGTGATACTTAGATTCAGAAGTCGCTGGGCTGCAGGGGTCAGCAGGCCCGCCTCTCCTGGCATCTCCCAGCTTCTCAGAAGTGGGCTCAGGGGTCTCCGTGCCAGCTGCAGACAGAGTTAAAATGGTGGTATCTGTGATCAGGACAAAAGCTTGCTAGAGCCAAGGAAATAATCTCTACTGATAATCATGGCAAGCATCAGAGGCCAATTGCCACGTAGGCTTACGGTCTTTGGGTTTGTCCTTTTGCTTAGTGTGGTTTTTTTGTTTTGTTTTGCTTTGTTTTTGAGACAGTTTCACTATGTAGTTCAGGCTGGCCTTGAGCTCACTTTGGAGCTCAGAATGGCCTCAAACTTGAAGCAACCCCCTACCTCAGCCTACTGAATGCTGGGATTACAGGCAGGTGCCACCACACCCAGCAGGTTTTGTTTTTAACTTTAAATTGTTTTTCTACCAATCAAACAAAATGGACAACATGTTTTTATTTGTTTGGCTGAAACTCATAGTGATCCTCCTGCCTCAGCCTCCGAAGTACTGGGATCACAGGTTGTCCAGCTTGGACAACATTTTTTTTAAGGAAAAGAATTATGAAGTCTTTCACTGCTGGGCTGGAGTGTGGGCTGGGTGAGGTGTCACTGTGACTTAGGAATAGAGTCAGTCATGACATCATGGGGAAGCACCTGCGATCCCTATCTTATCTCTTCCATTGCCTCTCGAGTCAGGGGACGCCCGGCCTCTGACTCCTCAATGAGATCAGTGCAGCTGTGGTGAAGGTGAGGGTGGGAATAGCTCCTCCTGGGCTGAGCACTCAGGGAGGCGGGGTGGGATGGGGCCCTCTTCCCGCTTCTCCTCTGCCCCTGCTCCTCCCTGCATCTCCCAGCCTGGTTCTTCTCTTGTAGGGGCAGGCCCGTCCCTCCAATCTGGGTGCTGCGGAGATAAACTGGGAACCAGCAACCATACCTCCTGCCCTGGGGGTTAGAGTGCAGAGCCTTCTGGAAACGTCCGCCGGGCCAGGCCACCCTATGTCCATTCCAGCAAGGCCCATTCAAGGTCCTGTCCTCTTGGGCGCCAACAGCAGCCTCAGGAGTTATTCCTGAGGGGATAGGGTTTCTGTGTGAGACGCTGAGATCTCACTGGGTCTCTGGGTGAGACTGACAGGAAAGAATGACACATGCTGAGTCAGCTTCAGGGGACATCTAGGCCCTTGTCTGTCCCACAATTCACTTTGATTACACTGTAAACAGAAGGCGCAGTCCTTAGTCCTGTGGCTTGAATGAGCTCTTGAATATGGTCCATGGGAGACAAGGTCACTGGAGGTCAGGCCAGGTGGTCTAAGGAACACATGCTCTGGCCTGGGGCTTGGGGCCTTGTGGGGAGGGGGGTGCGGTCTGAGGTCCTCGGTACTTTATTTTTAGCCTCTCTTAGAACAATGGAAGGAGGATTGGCCCCGGGGTGCTGCTGGAACTCAGGTGGGAGAGGGAGTGGTCTCCAGGTCTCCAGATGTGTTTTTCTGTCTGCACAAGGCCTGTACAGGGATCTTTTTCAGTAGGGTCACAGGAGTGGACACAAGTCTCCGAGCTGCAGCAGGCTCCCCGTCCCTGGTATTTCTCTTTTTTAAATTGCATGTTAGTAATAGAGTGGCCAGGTTCACTTGGGAAACCAGTGCACACACAGAACACATCCTGGTCATTGTCATCCCCTTGTCTACCTCCTTTCCTCCCCTGCCCCTTTGCATGTGTGAGCTACAAACAGGGAGCAGAGCTCAGATCTCTCCTGCAGGGCACCTACACTGTCCATCCTACAGGGTGCTTCAGAGAAAGTGCGGAAAGCCCTATTGGAAACAGGGCATGGTGGTGCACACCTGTAATCCCAACACTCCAGAGGCTGATGCAGGAGGATCACTGTGAGTTTGAGGCCACCCCGGGCTACGTAGCAAGACCCTGTCTCAAAACAAACAAATAAAAGAACATTATTTTTAATGTTTTCATTGAATCATTTCATTTCATAATTCCTGGTCAACTAGAGCTCTTCCCTCTGCAATCCAATCCTCAAGATCTGATAGGCTTTCTTTCTTTCTTCTCTCTTTTTAAAGGTGAGAGAGAGCCAGATGTGGTGGTGCATGC